AATTGAAGCCCCAGAACATCTCTCTCTCCCACACTCCCCCCCATATGCGCACACACTTCATCTGTACTCTGAGGTAGCGCCTTACTTTTGGGAAGGCATTTCAGGTTGAGAAAATTGGCCTCATCCTGCTCTTGCATGCCAGCACAGTAGGGATCCCTGTTGCAGGAGGGTGGGCATGCTGTGACAGGGAGTATGGGACCGGGGCTGTTGTTCACACTGTCCTGCAGCTGTGGGGCCACACCAGTAATGGTAGAGCCAAAAGGGAAGTTTAATGCTCCAATGAAAGACCTGCCAAACTATTCTGAAATAATTGTAATAGCCTGTCTGCTTGTTGCTTCTTCCTCTCCGTGCTGCAAGTGCAGCTGTTGCTCAGGCACTGCGGTCCTGAGCTGTTGATATCTTCTCTCTGAGCAGGGAAGTAGCATCCAGTGGAAAAGCATGCTGCTGCTGCTGTGGTGAAGATGTTTCCACTCCCCGCACGACATGGCAGTAGGTGGGCAGCCTTGTGCATGCCAGGGTTTGTGATCCCAGGAGCAACCTGAACCTTTTGCAATAGGTGTGCAATGGGGCTGACTGTCCCCCGGCTTGCAGAGTCACGTAGCCAAGCTGCCCGCTCCTTCCTAATTGCCATTTTGCTGTTCTGTCTGCGCCACTTGCTTGGAAAATCCAAGTCAGAAACCTCAGCTCTCTGTGAATCACTACATTTATAACCACCTTTTCTGTTCATGCTTCCCTCCCACTGCTGGGCTTCTCTTTGGACCATTAAAAACTCCCTCCCGAGATTGGCTACTGACTGCCATTCCCGGCCGCACTTGGCTGACTCTGCCAGAGGATTATGCTGGGCAGAGCTGCCGTTGAGCGCCTGGACGTTACTGTTCACACGCAGCAGAGGCACACTCCCTCCAGACGGCAGCGGACAGGCTCGTCTCCCTCTGCAAGCAGACCTTTCAGCTGACTCATAACATTTGCACCAGAGGAACTGATAATCAGACCATACCGGTGGGTTTTTCTGTAGCCCTTTCCAACACATGCTGCAACTGTGGACCAGTGGGATCCCTGCCTGGGGGGGGACTGGGGGGACTGCTGCCGTGGGTTGCAGCCCCCCCTGGTGGCACGTGCTAAATGCTGGTGAAGGTCTCTGGAGGCAGGGGCCCAGGGCTCCAAAAACAGTCGGGAGCTGGCAAATTGGAGACAGCCCAGAGCTGCACAGTCAGGCTCTTCCTCCTGACTCTGGCTTCCCATGTCAAGCCCTGGGGGTTTCCAGAAACAGGAACTGGGGCCACCATAATGTGGAAATTAATGCAGTTGTCACTGTGACCTCCTACGTGCCACGGTGGTGCCAAGAGAGTTGAACCAAGTTCAGCATCCTAGTGTGTGCTGGCTACCAGGCAGGCATGGCAGGAGATGCCTCTGCTCCCAGCCTGAAGGGCAGAGGGGACTGAGGTTTGGCAAGGGAAGAAGACTCCACACTCCCAGCGCCCGTCTCACAGAGTGCTGCCTGCCAGGGGACACTGGCAGTGACATGCTGGTGTTCCTGGGCCACCGTACAAAGTGTGAGGCATGTGGTCTTGGCTAGCCTGTGAAGGTCTCTTATGGCAGCATGGCCATTCCCTGTGCTTCCAGGAAGCTGGGCACTAGAACAAAACAGCTCTGCATCCTTCCTAGAGAGTAGCAGAGACACTGGCCACCGGCCCCGAGTCCCTCGCTGAGGTGGCAGGAGGAGCTGCAGCCAGCCCCAGTGCCCACAGGCAGGCAGCTGGTGCCTGCAGGACTCAGCCTGGCTCTCTTAACCATCTCCTTCCAACAAGAGCATAGCATTGCAAGAATCTGTTCTTCCATCAGCAAAGGTTAAGAGTAGACAAGGCA